GATTCGGATGAGCTTAGTCCTTACCCACCGTGGTGTGGTAACTGATACTGTGTGGTAGCTATATGTACATGTACATGAATGCGTATGTTCTACAAACCCCTGCCAGTGTAAAACATAACATCAAGTGCGAGTCATTGGATGACGTAGCAAGATATCGTTCTCGCTTCACGGTCGGGGTAGAGTATATTAATACACCGGATAAAGAGGGCAGTATCCCAGGCTTTGGAAGAGGAAAGGATAATCAGCACAGACCGAGTGAGGCTTCTTTTGGTTTACACGGTAATATTCGACATTGCTTAATAACATGCACATCATCATATTTGACTATGTTCTCCTCTCAGATGATTGATCTTCGGTATCTGCAATATGTGTTATCATTTCAGAGAGATTGATCTTCGATATATACAATATGCGTTCTCCTTTCAGAGAGATTGATCTTCGATATCCATATCAGGCGATATTTCGAGTCTCCACTCACGAAGATGCTAAAATCCGAGACCAAGTCATCCACCCACGTAGTTGGTGGTCTAGATGAGTTGAACACAAACGTTACGGATAACGATAACGAAGGTGACCGAGGAACAGAAGGTGTTTCGCAAAACGACGATTTGCAGATCTCAGAACACACACTAAATAGAACGACACTTGAAGAAGAAGGAAAACAACAACAAGAAGAATGTGAGAGCGAGATCGCTTCATCCACCCGCACTTTCGTTGATCAAGCAAGTCCGAACGGAGATACACCGAAGAGGAAATACAAAAAAAGAAATACTACAAGAAATAATACACAAACAGGAAAAGGACAAAAAAATAAAACTACCCGTGGTCTAGCTGACTCGAAGAAGAGAAAACGCAAGGAAAATACATGTAACGAAAGTTCCGATTGCGAGACCGAGATCGAACCATGCACCCGTGTCCTCAGAAATCGCACGAGATCTGAAAAACAGCAAGAATCCAAACGCGAGACCGCGTCACCCTCCCGTGGCTTCGTATTTAACTCGCAGAACAGAGCACCGCTTGAGACTACAAGAGGGGTTTTGAATATCTCTAAAACTAGAAGGACAGCGAATATAGTAACATCTAACGGTATAGTAACATCTAACGGCGCATCACAGAACGGATCCCTGGTCTCGGGCTCATACTACACCATCTGCACACAACATCGACAACCGCATTGTCTCGTTATGTTCCAGGATAAAGACGTTTCGGTAGTCGTTAAAGATCTTCTAAGGAATAATACTTTACCACATATTAATCCGGACGCATACAACTCGAGATTATATTACACTGAACTGAATGATCAACTGGCCCTAATCGAAGATCGGTATAGGGATGTGGTGGCAAAAAAGAATAGCCTAGAGGGACAGGTAAATATTCTCGAAATGCATATCGAGACTCTGAATCAGATGAATCGTTCTGTAAAACAATAACAGGGTAAGATATCGTATAATTAGTGTTACCCCCGTATTATTGTGCATGGTATATTTATGTACCTAGATGGTACTCTTTCTTGTTTGTCGTGTTTCTAGTGTAGCAGTGTTGACCGCCAGGTCAATATAACATATGGCATTTTAATACATATGTATAAGGATTATGCTATGTTCTTACCTTTGTCCTCACATATGATTGTTATGTGCGTGTGTTAATATTGATAGTAGTGTGTGTTTTATGAAAACAACTTTGCGTTCTCTATGTTTCATGCTAATGACTTGAGATAGACATCTCTATATGCGTATATATGATTATAACGAAATAAAAATATCGAGAAAAATGGTTGTTTCATAATATCCATAATTGATAGTATTCCTTTTTTATGTTCCTCACCATATCTATATGATGAAATAAGGGATATAATAAAAACCGTTATAATAATGTAATATATTTATATTATATTATACGCATCAAAGCAAGATCGGTTTAATAACATGGTTAATCGATCCCCGACAAATGGGACACTTTGACTGGGTTAACAGACAATCAGTACAACACACCATATGATTACAGGGAAGAATAACCACATCTATTTCGGCATCCATGCAGATCTTACAGAGATGCCTCTCGTCTTTATTGATGTTCTTGTTTGGTTCACCTGAAATAACAAAAAGAAGAGAAATATTAATATACATTTTCATATACATATGTATATTTGTATATGTATATAGAATATATAAATACAGACAAAATACGAAAAAATGAAATAGTGTAGATAGAAAAAGATATACGAATACTCATTATATATCTGACAAACAATAATAAGTCTATCTATATCATACTACCTTCTTCTATTCCAATTGATCGTGAAAGTTTCGATTCGGCTTCTTCGTCTCGATTATTGAACTGTCTGTGTTGTATATCAGGTTCTCCTCTTGTAATACTGTTAAAATTTTGATAGGGTACAACTCTTCTGCTATTCGCATTTGATATTATATATAAGTGTGTATGGAACATTAAATCACGTCCGTTCGTATGTACAGTTGGTACTGGTGTCATCGTTGGTACTGGTGTGATTGTAATCCCTATTGCACTCTGATTTTCGAGTTCGCTTATGACAATATCTTCTTCTACTTCTAGTTCTTCTTCATCTGCTGCTGCTGCTTCTCCTGCTGAATCAAGTGCATTTGTTATGTCTCCCCTATCCACATTAGAGGCTGACGTATTTGTCTTTTTTGTTATTGTTTGTCGATTCAGATATCCCCATATTGCAGTTAGGGATGCGCTCTGTCCTTGGTCTAGAATAGAACCTATTCGAGAGGTAATTTCGTAAGAGTTAAGTCTGTCCAGTATCATGCGATACTCGCTCTCGATATGATAGCCGGTATATGTGTGATCGGGATACGGAAGATTAAAGGAAATTTCATGACGATACATCGGGATATTGGGGTCTCCGCTATCGTTAAAGGCTGACTGCTTATACAGATAAACCGAATTCTCGATACAAACGGTAGGATAGGAACGATTGTAGCTCTTTCCGATAACCATCTGTATAAATCGCATCACAGCGTACACTGTTCGATAATTTGCAATACACTCTGCTGTCAATAGATTATTGTTATTTTTTTCCTCGTACGATTCGATTTTTTCCCGTACAGCTGAAATACAGTCGACCTCTCTGGAAAAAGGCATGCCGGTCTGTAGAATTCGCTCGCAGAGCGCATCTCGGACGGCAACGACGGGAAACCCCTGCACCAATATCAAGTGTTTAGTATAGTCCAAACCCAGGAGGGTATTCCAATCTTGTTCCGTTGTATCTTGGCTGGCGCTGGAACTATGTCTCCTCATCGGTATACGAGATACTTCTAATCTGACCTAGAAAGATAGATAAAAAATCATCTCACTAACGAATAAAGATTATCCAAATTGCTACTTAAAAAACAATAAGCGAATGGTCTTGAATATATATGGCGAGGGTCAAAATTTAATGTTTCTATTTAAATTAGAACTATAAGATCGTATAGTGTACCTTGTCGATGAATTCTTTTCCCTTCTTCAATTGAACGTAATAGCATTCGGGATACCACTCGGCGTGTACTCTCCAAGGATCGTCATCTTCCTCCCAGTTGCGAAGACAAGCACCGCAGTGAAAGCATTGAACATGATCGCTAATCCCTAAAACCGAATGATAAATTATCCATGTTAATATAAACGATCCTATCATACCAATAAGTATTATCTAAGACTCATGAACAGTAACGGAGGCGATATGTTTGAACTTACCAAGATGATAGAATCCGGCCTCTACTAACGCCTCTATTTTTTGACGATGACGATGAGGCCAATTTAAAAAGCTCTCCAGCCGCGATTGGGTCGTTTTATAATAATCGTGCAACGGACCAGCGTATTCGTATCGAGTCTTTACCAAATCTTCCTGGTCGACTGTCGTTGTTGCTGATGTTACTGCAATCCTCTTCCGATTTGCAATACTGTTGAGAATGTTACTCATGCGTATGGGTATATTGCCCACTGACCTACCCCGTGCAAACTTACAGTTAGGACTTTTCTTTAAATGTACATCTCTTATAACAATGGGTTTATCGTCAGAAAAATTCACGTATATGTGACAACTAAAACAAATGCAGCGGTTTGTGTCTCTCGTGTAGAAAAATCCAGCAGCGGCTAATTCTTTTGCTTGTACCACTTTGCTTGGCCAGTCTATGAATGTCTCTAATCTCTTTATTTCGTATCTTAAATCGGCCGGCAATCCAGTCGCTGGATCGAAATGATTTTCAAAGATCTTTGATCTTGGAAGAGGAGGTAGATTTCGTGCGAGGGGACAAAGCGGATTCTTATCCTTGTGGATCTTTACAATATCGTCCCACGGCATGATGGTGTCTATGTCGATACGTGAATGACAGTCAACACAAATTATGTATTGTTTAGACGATAGATTGCATCTTATAAAACCCGCCTTTGCAAGTATCTTCGGATCAATAACATACGAGGACGACTCGTGCCCAAACGTCATTCTACGGTTATATTCGCTTTCCATACCACTAAAATCGACACGATATTGCTGATCGTCGATATGTAATGGAATATTTTGCGACATGACAGTATCGTGAACAGACATAATGCCAGGTCATATGACTGTTTATAGGCAAGGTTGAAAAGAAATATATACACATTTATACACCTAGAACTATTTTATATTCAAATCGTAAATCACACACCTACACGATTACAAGGAAACTACACGTTTACAAAGGAATATTAACGATAAAATGACAGTAGTATTCTCAGTTACACGTTAGCGATTTTCTCTCTAAGTATACATTATATGTGCATGTCTCATGATCTTTATATCATCATTGTAAATAATGATATTGCGAGATCTTTCTTTTTTTACAAATAGGGTTCGAGAGTATATTTAATCTTCTTTCTACAAATAGGACACCTTGTTTGAGTCACTATACAATTACCACAACACGACATATGACGACAGGGAAGAGTAACCGTCTTTACGCAAGAGTTCATACAAATCTTGCATAAGTATCGATCGCTAATTACATTGTCAGGAGCCTCTGTAAATAAGGAAAGTTATATGTGCAGAATATAACACACATATAAAGACACATGTACATCACTTTCTTTTCAAAAACATATATATATTTTACTTGACAACATAGGATCTTACCCTTTATTTCAGCATTTCTTTCTTCCTCTTCCTGGCGTTGGTGGTGTTTCCTAATCACACTGAATACATCACAGGAATCTCTATCATCATTATTATTATCTTCATTATCATCTTCATTATCATTACTACTACTACTACTATTATTATTATTACTATTACTATTATTATTATTATTATTATTGTTATTATTATTATTATTATTACTGTTACTACTACTACCACCACTACTCCTATCGTTGTTATTGATTAATCTAGAAAGCTGAATTATACGATTCCATACATAAAAGAGAGAGATGCTATCCCTCTCGCGGAAAAATAAACTCATGACATGATCAGCTAGCCCTCTATTAAGTTGTTCTGATGCTAGACGATACTCCAGCTGAAACCTGAAATCGCTATTATGAGACGGATGCGGAATAGTGAACGATAATTTATGTTGATACATCGGCGTTGCGCCAGGGTTATAGGAAGGTTGTCTGAATAGAAATATCGCCTGATCCGGTTTGAATAAATTAATAGAGATATCCGGATCTACATCTTGATTCACGATGAATATTCTCTTAAGGTCCATCAAAAAATACATCACAGAATATACCGCATGATAATTTTGAATATATTCCGTGCTCATACGGCTGATCTTTTTTGCTAAGGTTATATCCATATTACCGTATGCTACGATTTTCTCTCTCGCATAATAAAGACCTTCCTGTTTGGTAATAAATGGGATTTTATGAACTAGAATCCGTTCTCGAATACAATCTCTGACGGCAGCAACTGGAAAGAGTGACATCAGCAAATCTTTGGTGATATCCAGACCCATAACAGCATTCCAATCTTCGTCCGTTACAGAATAAGTTCTCTCAAGAGTAGGTTTTCTAAAAAGCGCACTCTTGACCATCTTCGCCTTGAAAGTAAAAGATTGATTAATGTTAACACTCTATGATCAAATGATACATATTGAAAACATGCATCTCGTATATACAACCACATTAATGCAAGCTAGAAAGTGCATATTAGAATATCTGGAGCACATAGCATCTTACCGTATCGATATATGTTTGTCCCTTTAAGGTTCGAACATAATAACACTCAGGATTCCACATAGCGTGTTGTGTCCATGGGTCATCATCCCTTTCCCAATTGCGAATACCGACACCACAGTGGAAACAATTTACTTGGTCGCCGTAGCCTGAAAACGGAGGATTGGTATCAATAGTGACACTTCGATCCGAAAATAGAAGATAATTCTTCGCTCAGTTAGTTACATATCCACTAAGACTCACAACTGTCTAATCTGTCTAAAGAGGTTTACCAGAATAAAAGAATCCAGCAGCTATCAGTCTTTTGGGGAGTATTGTATCTCCCAGAGGCCAATCGCCATAGGTATATTTGCGACTTCTTGACGTTACGAAATTTTCGTGCTTTGGTCCAGAATACGATTTGATACCCATCTCCGATAATCTGTTACCAGCACCGGTTCTCGAGGATCTGTCATTTTCCGACTCGCGTGAATCTCCACCGTCTTCTTCGCCACTAGATCCACGGCTTCTTCCTTCTTTGTCATCACAGCTGTTTTTCTCGTTATCTGTCTCTTGATGACCGATGATCTTACTTATAATCTTATTTATACGAATAGGTACATTACCGGTTACCTTTCCCTGTGCAAAATCACAGTAGGCGTCAGTCAAATGTTTTTCTGTTATATGTTGGGTCGTAGAAGTGTGTCGAGCACAGCAAAAGTACTGTGTGCACGGTTTAAACGATATGCGCACCTTGCAACAGAAACAAATGCATTCAAAGTTCCTTCTCGAATAAAAAAAGCCAGCGGCGGCAAGATCCCTTGCTTCTATTACTTCGCCTACCGGCCAGTCTATAAAAGTTTCTAGTCTTTTCGTTTCGTATCTTAAATCAGATGCAACAACTAGTCTCGATCTCGGAAGTGAAGGTAAATTCCGTGCGAATATACAACTCGGGCTCTTTGTCTGGTGAACTTCCACGATGTCATCGGTTTTTCCAATGTCACTGATGTCGATGTTTAATTTACATCTGAAACAAATCAGTCTCTTATCTAGTTCATAGAAACCGGCTTTTGCCATTATTTTTGGATGGTGAACATATTGATCATAATCCCTATATGTATTTGCTCGATGTGTCTCCTCGCACATACGGGTAAGATCACGATCAATATCAGTTGCATTGTCCATGTTCCCTGGATCAGACATTTTAATCTATGGATCGTGTAATATAAACTGGTGTTCGATCTATAGTGTAGTTGCACAACACACGTGTGTGTGTGTGTGTGTGTGTGTGTTGTGTAAAATCATATTTATGTATCAGAATTAGTCTGTTGCCCCATCGAAATGACAAATTGATCACGGTCCTTGAATCTACAACATTATATATTTCTAATTTTATGATTCGTCTTTATTGAGTCGTGTTTAGTATAATTATGAAAAATAGCCATTTAACCTGAAATCGAGAGTTGGATATGTCTGAAAAACTGGACATGTCTTAAAAGTGGACATGCCTTAAAAACTGGACATGTCTTAAAAGTGGACACATTTTAAAAGACTGGACATGTCTTAAAAGTGGACTTATTTTAAAGGTGAACACACCTTAAAAACTGGACATGTCTTAAAAGTGGACATATTTTAAAGGTGGACACATCTTAAAAACTGGACATGTCTCAAAAGAGAACACACCTTAAAAGTGGACATGTTTTAAAAGTGGACATGTCTTAAAAGTGGACATATTTTAAAGGTGGACACATCTTAAAAACTGGACATGTCTCAAAAGAGAACACACCTTAAAAGTGGACATGTTTTAAAAGTGGACATGTCTTAAAAACTGGACATGTCTCAAAAGAGAACACACCTTAAAAGTGGACATGTTTTAAAAGTGGACATGTCTTAAAAACTGGACAAGTCTCAAAAGAGAACACACCTTAAAAGTGGACATGTTTTAAAAGTGGACATGTCTTAAAAATGGACATGTTTTAAAAGTGGACATGTTTTAAATGTGGACATGTTTTAAAAGTGGACACGTCTTAAAAACTGGACATGTCTCAAAAGAGAACACACCTTAAAAGTGGACATGTTTTAAAAGTGGACATATCTTAAAAACTGGACATGTCTCAAAAGAGAACACACCTTAAAAGTGGACATGTTTTAAAAGTGGACATGTCTTAAAAATGGACATGTTTTAAAAGTGGACATGTTTTAAAAGTGGACATGTCTTAAAAGCGGACATGTCTTAAAAGCGGACATGTTTTAAAAGTGGACATGTCTTAAAAGTGGACATGTTTTAAAAGTGGACATGTCTTAAAAGTGGACACGCCTTAAGATGTGGACGTATCATAATATATGAACATGTCTTATACTATATCATGAAATGTATACATGTCTAATAACATATAAAATATATACATGTCTAATAACATATCACGAAATATGTATATTTGTCACTAAGAAATATACGACATTTTTATAAAGTGAGTAGTCAATATAAAGTTTTGTTAAAATGTAATTATTCCGAGAAGATATAAAAGATTCTTGGAAGGAAGAAAAGAACTACATATGATTTTTAAACTTAGTGATTAGTCGGCATGAAATGATTTCTAAAACCGATTTCTGTATCTTTATATTAGGGGTGATATTATATTAATATAACAATTTGAATTTTGAAGTAACTATAAGTCTATCTTCTGGACGCTTCTCCTCTGTCAGTGTTTCAGCTCTAACGTATTGTAAGATCGATATGAACGAAGAATCCTTTGTTAAATATTAAAAACGATTATTCCGAAATGTTTTGTTGAATGCTCAAGACCAACGGATATATATATTTAGAAACATGGCTTATCTATTTAAACACTGACTGATGGTATAAAGAGTTAGACTTGACTCGACTCTCTCCTCCTCCGGTTCCTGTACTTTTAAGCGTAGTGTAAACATATTTTACATCGGGAGAAGATCTCTAATTCGTCTATAAGAAATAATGTTTTCATAGCCATTGCCAGATCAATGTAACTGAAGACATAATGGATATATCACATCCTAACAATTTTCTGCAACAGGAAGAACATCGGTTAGCCACGTTCAGCGGACATGAGATATTTCCCATCGATATTAGGAAATTGGCCGAAGCCGGATTTTACAGTACGGACGCAGGGAATATTGTGAAGTGCTTTGATTGCAATTTGGAAGTTGATGTTACAATTCTCGCAGTGTCAGATGACATCGTTAAGATTCACAGGGAGATGAACCCTCATTGCTCATTCGCGTGCAAACTGGCCACTAGAGTATACAGGAACATGACGTTCGTCACCTACGATTCTCTAAGATACGAAGAACAGCGATTAGGAACCTTCATCGACTGGCCTCATGAATGGCTGAAACCGTCAGAATTGGCGGTCGACGGATTTTACTATCTCAGGAAAAGGGATTACTGTGCGTGTATCTTCTGCAGAGGGATAGTTGGAGCCTGGGAACGGGGTGACACGCCAAGAGGAGAACATCAGCGCCATTTTCCTCACTGTCCCTTTATTAGGGATCAGCCAGTTGGAAATGTTCCCATTATTCCTGGCAATATTTTAGCCAGGTTACCGGCACTACATGTGAGTCTGGACGATTGCAGATCGTCAAGACGTGTTAAGGCCGACGTTTGCGGATTATCGTCAAGACACATGGCCGGATCATATCCCGAATGCAGTGAGTAATTTGATATCTTTTATCGTTGATTAGTATTTATGAATATTATATCTCTTTACCCGTGAGCTCAATCCAGATTCATTCCCTGTTATCGTTTCGTCACACAGGAGGATCTCTGGAGGGAATTGGTCTCTCCCAGCATTCTGGACCGACACGAAGTGATTTCATGACAGTAGATAGCCGATTGGAGACCTATGTCGAATGGCCTGAGGATATTGGTCTGCATATACAAGATCTTGCCGAAGCTGGATTTTTCTACTGTGGTACAACGTTTATATATATATGTATATGTATATAAGTAATAGTAGATTAATTGCAGGTTTTAAATATTGATAAAAACATCAGCTCGTTAAGAACTCTGGAATTGGTTGCATCTTCTCTATCAAAAGAAACATTTCGCAAAAGAAACAGTTACCGTTATTATTTTCACAGGTCTGAGTGATCATGTTCGCTGTTTCCACTGCGGTAAGGGTCTTCGCAATTGGATATCTAGCGATATACCTTGGAAGGAACACGCTAGATGGTATCCTACATGCAGATTTGTTTTATTGATGAAAGGCCAGGACTATATCAATAAGGTATGTATATACCTCTTAAGTGTATCTTATTTTGTTGGATAATTTTAATAATTACTGTTTTATTATTATTATTATTTTCATTAGATTACTATTACTATAATACTAATATTGTTATAATTTCTTTTAGGTCCAGCAAGAATATCCACCATACACCCGCATAGCAAGTACTATATATTCGGGTATCGATAAAGCTGCTTCCGGTAGCAGTAATAATCCAACGGAGGTGCAATCCATATCCGAACAAGAATTGGATCTATTGATGAGTTTGGATATCGCCAAGGGTGTACTGAGACTGGGATTTCCTAGTTATATAGTCAGGGCCACCCTTAAAGATCGGGTTGAACAAACCGGCGAACCGTATATCAGTATAGAGCCTTGTCTTGAAGATGTCATACAGAGAATGAACGAAACAGAGAATCAGGTTGCAGATAATCGTTCTGAAAGTACAGAGTGTGAGCCGTCATCTGGCGAGACTGATATTTTATCTTCGATATCTGAACAACAAACTTTTGTATTCCCATCTACGTCTGGAACCATGGAGAATCGGGTTGCAAATATTCAGTCGCTTCCATACGAATCTACCGAGGTTGAACTATTATCTCAACAACAAGTTTCTATATTGCCATCTACATCTGAAATAAGACGACATCAAGCTTCGGTATTTCCATCTACATCTGAAATGATACGACAACAAGCTATACCCTCTACTGCACCTCTGACTACAACGTTATCATCATCATCATCATCTGAACGAGAAAATACCGAAACTGAAACAAAGCATATTTTGCAAATAGTCGAAGAATTCATATCGCAGACTAGTGAAGAAGAAGAGGAGGAATA